ACACGCGAGAGCCTTCGCGATCCTCCGTGGCCAGAATTACCGTAAATCACGTGAGCGTGTACTTATCGAAAGCGTGGCGTTAGGGAGCGAGGAGTGTGGTGCGTGTCTGGATTGGTTCGCGAGATCGCGAAATCCCGGGAATTCGTGGAACACCTATGAATATGAATACGCCGTTCGTTCCGGCGTAATGCGCCGGTTTTCGTGAATACCACGCTCCTCCGCGAACAGAACCAGGCAATCTGCTAAGTATACGCGAGCGCGAGCGGAGGGAAGCGCGGATAACTAGTTCCTCCGAGTAAATTGATACGTCGTGGTACGTTTCGTCCGCCTTTCCTCTTCCTTTTTCCTCCTTTTTCTACAATGTTTTCATGCGCGTGTACCCTCGCGGCGAAGTCGAGGCGAGGGTCGAGAAACAGGGACCTTTTTCCTTAATAGTTATAATCCAGGCTGGACAATTACCGGGTCGATAAGTAATTGCAGCCCTTATCAGAGTCGTGCAAGCCGCTGTGTAACCACCCTCTGCCTTCCAACTTTCTCTCTCTCTCTCTCTCTCTTTTTTACACTTCTTCTGCTCTCGTTGCACTCACGTTACACTCTCGACGCACAGAGCAGAAACGTTACACAATAGCGATGCTGAAAAACGGTAGAAACTTCCGATTCGAGAGGAAACACCGATGGTACCGGTTCTCGATTTTCCCGATCATCAAGCGCATTTTCGAATAAAGCGATCGATTCGAGCGCTAAACGCTCTTTCATCCGAGCCTCTGTCCTGCTACGTTGGATCGTTGCGCTTTTATCGTCGAACCACGTCGGCGAGCATGGACAAAAATGTCCATCCTCCACCTCTCTTTACCACCCACGCAACCCTGTTGCGGTCGGCCGATGAACGTGCGTCACTGATCGAATAAAGAATACAATTTTTGTTTTTCGTTCTCCCTTGGTTTGTTCGTTCGCGGAGTTATTTTTTTTTTTGTCTGCGTGTAGCAGGAAAAATGGCTCTATTAACGTATCGGTGGGTTGGTAATTGGCCAGTTTGTCATGCGAACGGTAATAAAATTTTAGCCGCGGTCGCGAAATCCATTCCGCGTGGCGAGCACGAATTTTATGGTAAATAAAGAACCATCCGAGCCCACGGACCCCGTTATCGGACCAATTCTCCTACCAACTACCCCGCCACCACGGTTCCAACGTTGGTAAGCGGTCCGCGCTGCTACTTCAACCCCCGTAACCACGCGTGCAATCTGCCAGAAGCACGCTTCCACGAGGGCCCCATGGCCACTTATCGGCGAGAGAGGGTCGCGCTCGTCCGCAAACAAACTCATAAATAAAATCCTTATGCCGCAAGTTTCGCGTGTGTGCCGATGCACACGCTGTAAAGAGAAGAGAAGTGACGAGAAGAGCCGGATGGGTTTGATATCGAGGCTGCAGCTGACCCAGTTGCCGAACGGTTAATCCAGCAAGCGCGAAAGGATTTGGAGACTGTCAGCGACACGCGGTGATAAATAAACACCGTTTCCTGGATCGATCGATCTTAACTTTCCTCGCTGCCCCTATTTTTGCAACGGAATTTGCCGGATGGTGATCTTTCGGGGCGCAGGATCAAGCGTAGTGGAAGTTTGAAGCTCGTAGAGAAATTTATAGAGCATCGGAGGATTGTTTAATTAAAAATTTTGAAATAGCGAGCTATCGAGTTCACTTTATCGCTCCATAAATTCGCGGCATTGTGTTTTACTCTTCCCGTTTTGCTCTCTTGTCTCTCGGAGAGCGTCGAATTATGGAACGGGAACGAACGCGATGGTTAGTTACTTGGGAAGTTTCGTAAATCGTGTTACAACGTTAATTTCGTCTTCCCGCCGCGCGATTAATACGATCTTTCAAATTTATTCCGGTCTGGTAAAGTCGTTCCGGTACGAAAGGACACTTTTCATCCCCACCTCGAGGAGCTTCATTTAAATACTAAACGAATATAGCGCACCATTATCTTCCGATATTCTCGTATTTTTCATCGACGTAATTACAAAACCTTGTCGGACTCAGCTGGATTCTTCCTCCAACGAAAATTCATCGCACGGCGAAACTTGAGAGAAAAGAAAATTCACTGCGAGGAAAAATGTCCGTGAGGGAGAAGCTCGAATTTCCACGGAAGCGGCAGAAAGACGGAGAAGGCCACCGATCAAGCCAGACATTGTCATACGAGGAAGAAATTCGATCTATATTTACAAGGGAAGATTGAGTCACACGAGCGGAAACTGCGGACAGGTGAAACCAATACCGAATCATCGATAATCAAATTGTTCCATGAGAGAAAACAGTTTCCAGCGATAGTTTCCTCGTCGACAAAACGTCAGGACGTTGGAATTACGCCGGTCCCTCCACCTCGTCCTCTCGTCCACCGCTGGTGCAATGAAGTCGGTTTCCGAAATCGGTTCGGATAACGAGCACGAACGAATAGCGTAACGAAGCGATGGAAATTGCTGGGAATAATGACGGCAGGGTCCACCGGCGGAAGCGTAACCGCGAGAAATATCCGAAAACCGGGGCCCGTAATGGGATCTTGAAAAGGGAAACAAATGGATCCAATTAACGACGTTGAATCGCTGCGAATATTGAAAATATCGGACAAAGTAATTAAAATACACACGGTCAGTGGTCCGTTGGGTCCTTTCTAGCAAATTGATTTCCGCGTTATCATCGTCCCTCCCTCTTTACCGTGGATCCATTACGAGTACACTCTCGAAAACTTTATTCGACGACATCGTACCGTTGGTAGAATGGAAAGTAAAGCTTAACGATAATAATATCGCGGTTATAAACGAGAGAACGTGAAACGATAAGAAAACAAACTGTTCCTGTCAGCGAGCTCGCCAACCCACCATTTATATCAGTCTCCGTGTGAATTATCGATCTATTTCCGGCTTTTACCGAAATTTTTTATTTCGGTCCGCCTGTCCTTGCCCCGGCTGTGTGTACGTACATCCCACCGGAAATGATCTTTCTTCGGTTCGTTTGCGGCGTCGGTGGTTGTTCACCAATGGCGGGAAATTTGAACCGTAGATGCGCTCTACTGTGTAGTTTTGTTTTTTTTTTTTATTGATAAACAGCTGGATCGAGGTCGTCGTTCGGACGGTATTAAAAGTAAAGGCGATTAAATCCACATTTACAGAGGCGGACACGTCCCCGTTTACCGATTCGACTAATTCAGAGCCGCGAATAAAGCTGTCAGTGGTGAATAAAAATAGAATCTTACGCAACAAAGAGGTTAGAAATTGGTGGATCGGTGGCCGGCGAACTCGCGATTCCACGAATAGAGAGAGTGTCGAGGATCGGAAGGCGGCCGTTGGAATTGGTGAAATCGCGGCCACGATTGTCAGCCGTCGTCGGATTTATTTACCTGTCATCGATTATCGAACCGTATTGGTCGTCGTTATTCCGGAATTCATTTCCTATTCCCCTCGGGTGTACAAATGGATCCTATCCAACGATGAAATTTTCCCCTGCTACGTCGTCTACGGAGTTTCCCGCGAATTTTTCCCGTCCTTGTCTCCGCACACGTGTTCCTAGGCCACTTTACATGCTAATAACGTCTGTCGACTATCTTTCCTCGCAGCTGTTCGAAATTTTTCGATGCTGATCGATGCTCGTGTAAAATTCCCTCTTCTATTTGCAAAACTGCCCGATTTATCGCGAAAAGATCCTCCATAAAACACGTCTATCGTAACGAGGGATCTATACATCTTCGCTAACCTTCATGTGCCGTTTACCTCGTTTTTATTATAAAAGAAAACATATTCCGGCGTTTTGGAACATTGGAAATAACGTCGAAAGTTAATTCGAAGCGGTGAATCAGCGTTGGAAGGTGTTTAAAATTCCTTCGATTATTCCCATCTATATTTCAAGCGCGCCACGTTCAGATACACTTTGACGTCCACTAGATCTCTCTCGAGGCGAGTTTAAAACGCGTTTCACGTTCGCTGATAAGCCTGCTCGAAATATAATAAGCAAAGCACGAGAACCGGCCACGCCAGCGGAGTCGTTCACCCTACGCGGAGGCCCGGCATTTCGCGTAATAGTTTAATCGTTAATACAGGCCGCCACGACTTCCGGTTAACGAGAGCCAGTCGAAGCCGCCCGGTTTCTCTCGCGGCTTCTCTCGCTATCCGCGATGAATCGCGATCCTAGGTGGAATTGAACGTCGTAAAGATAAACTGGTTCGCCATTCAGCCGATCCGAACGTTTATTATTGAACACGCGGCCGGACTTGGGCCGAGCGTACAGATATTTAGAGCGTTTCCAGGTCCGACTTCTTCGCTGCCACTCCAGCTGCTCGCTCGCGGGAATGCCAGATGGAAAATCCGCTGTCCTTCTTGCCGCAGTTTACTCTTTGTTCAACTTTCCACGAAAGAATATTATATTCTAGGTATTGTTCATTCATCGGAACATCGCTCTGTTCCTGTTCCTTTTGACAGCATCTTTTTTGCGTTTCGAAGAACGGAAAAAGTGGATAATTATTTTTTTTTCGGAGGGAAGTGGCGAGAAAGTTATACGCGAGATCTTTATTTCTTTCTCTCCTCGTTTTTCCCCCTTTCAGAATTTAATTTAGTTTGAAATAATCGTGGGATTTTGACTCCGCGTAGTTGCTATGTTTCGAAATCTTTTTAAAGGGGGGATATCCTAGGAATGTGAGATCTTTAATTTAATTGTGAATTAATTCTTTCTATCCTTGGGCTGTTTCACATCTCTGTCGAGTTTAATTATAAATAACCGCGAGATCTTAATCTCACGTAGTTACCGTGTTTCGAACTCTGTTTAAAAGGGAATATTCTAGGAATTTTTGTAAGGAAATTAGAAAAGGTTAATAAAATACTTGGGAATTTTAGACGAAACACAATTTTTATTATTTGCATCTCCAATACAGTTGCAAGTTGCGAGCTAATTCACACTCGTCTAATCGCCATTTACAATCTACTTGTAAATACATAAAAATTTAATAAATGCTGCAGGTGACATGGAGATCCTGGCGTACTTCTACGGCCCCATCGGCATGCTTCTCGCCGTGAATCTGCTGTTCTTCGCGGCAACGGCCCGCGAGCTGACGTGCGGCCTGTGGAAGGGTGAATTCGTGAAGAGCACCACAGAACGGTAAGTGAATTTTTCCGGTTCGATCAGACGAACATCGAAGGGGAAAGAGAGGAGTGTCGCGCGTCTGACTGTCTCTCCCGGTTTGGCAGCCACCTCTAAATTAAGTTCCAATGCCCCGTGCTTTCACTCGCGTTCGCTCCGCGAAATTTCTCCACACCGGCGGATATGACTGTTCCAAGCAGAGCTTGAAGGGGAAAAAAATATTTACCCGAGAAAGAGAGAAGAAGAGAGATGGAGATTTCCAGACGAAATCGACGGATTCGTAAACGATATGTTCTGCGTTTCGCCAACGTGCCAGCACTCTCTGTTGGACAACCTTCTCTTCCTTTAAACATTTACACGATTTTTCCACGAACGTTTAACACCCTACGCTTACCGATTCCTTTCCTCCTTTCTTCCTTTTTTTTCCACGTTTCGCGTTAAAGAGGATGAAAAGCATCGCGGCGAGGCGTGGAAAATTTCCTTCTCCATTCACAGCGTACGCGCAAGACCCGGATTACGCTACGTTCGAGTTATTTTCGGTCTCTCTCTCGGCCACGTTTACGGAAGATCTAGATCGTGGTAAAGGCTGAACGACTTGAAACTTTTCCGGTTACTTTAGATACATCTTCGGATAACCGAATCGTCTTTTAGGCTAGAAATAATCTAAAGTTTGATCTAACACGCGTTATCTCTAGGCAACGTACTTCAGACCAATCTCTACCCTTTAACTGTCTCTTGTAACTGGATTCCAAGATGAGCGGAAATTACCGGGAAAACGTTTCGAAGAGGCCCGTCCTTGCGATCACGACGCGGTATTTCCACGGAAATCTTAGCGGAAAGTTAAACGGAAGAAATGATTACGCGGTAAACCTCCAGAGGGGGAAACGGTTAAGTCCGACGTTGTAGCGAAGTTTAAAGAAGGTCTGCTGCGGTTTATTTGCTCTCGGTAGTTGCTCGGCGCCGCGATACACAACGATTAACAGAGGAGCAAACGGAAACGACGATCCCGTTTTATTACCGACGTCGGACGATGCTTTATTTCGGCGCGAAGGACAACGCTTCGGGACGATAAATATCAAGGATAACTGGTTGTTCCATCCGTAACCCTCCTCCTCCTTCCCTCCTCGGATAATCGAGATCAGCGAACGCTCAACCTCGAAACGTTTACTCGCATTAAGATACTTGCTACTTGCGTCGTTTATCCTCCCTCTCCTCGTGAAACACCTTTTAACGAGCAATTCTCTCGGGAAAGTGAGTCGAGTTTGTTCTCCAAGTTCGCCGGGGCAAGTTTACGAGCGGTTTTCCAATTTATCGGGAATTAATAATTTTCCTTTTTAGAGATGCGAGTGTTAGATTTATCAGTCAGTTAGATATAACAAAAGTTAAACTAACGCCTTACTAGGAAGTATATATTACTTTTGTATACTCTGTTTAGTAAAGGTCTAAATGTTTATGATACAAAAGGCCCTTCGGTCCCAAGCGGTGTCGTAGGCATTCTCAGTCTGTATACAGTGCTCTTGCCATCAAGTAGAAAAGCGAACCTTCCTTGTGTCTAATAAAAGTTTATAGGTTGAAATAAGGATTATTAATTATTTAACAACCAACAACTCCCATAATCCAATAGCGAGTACTGTCGTATACCTCTCTCCTATCTTTCATTAGTTTTTAGTCATCCTGCCTCCTTTCCTTAACTGTAAACAAATCCGCATCATCCTAACGTTAGTCACCCCCGTCGAAACAGCAGATCTGTTTCCTTAACTGTAAACAAATCCGCATCATCCTAACGTTAGTCACCCCCGTCGAAACAGCAGATTTGTGTCTAGTGGTCTTCACGCACCGAACTGTCTAATAAAGTCGAATAGTACTACACGCAGAATAGCTCCCTTATTTCGCCCCAGTTTCCGTCAGGCTCTCCTACCGCGTACCTATTGAATATAATATACTAACGCAAGGAATCGCGAGCCGCGGAATACAACAGTACATATCGTTGAAATTAGTCGAATTTCGTGGGACCACTTCTACCGGAAGTCGTATTTCACGAACGTCCCTGCCGATCGATTATTTACGAGGAGTAAACGAGGATAGTTTCTGGCAGGTTTCTTCGGAATCAACAAGTTTTCTTGGACTCTGGTGTATTTATTCGTAGCCAGGGATCGATTAGAAGGATTCGCAAGCGAGACTATTTCGCAGAAGTGGAGATTTACGATCTTCCTCAGGTGTCTGTTACAATTCCTCGGAAATAAAAGAAGTTCATAGAAATTCACTATTAAAGACGTGAAAGAAACACGACGGAAAATGAAACGGTTCTAGAAATTCGTAAAAGACAATCCACGTGAGGTAGATACGATGCTACCAAGGAAAGACAGTCTCGAGTACAATGAAATTTATGCGCGATAATAAGGTGAAATATCGGGTCAAAGAAATTCCGCGAACTTCAAAGAGAGTTGAAGAGAAGAAACGGAGGAGAGACAGAGGATTCCCCGAAAGAAAAGTGTCCAACCAGATGTGAAAATATCATTCAACCTTCCGTTCCCCCGTCGATCTATGATATAGGCGTCGAGCGACGTTTGACGAATCACATTTTTTCGGATATTTATGCCCGGCAGCCGGCAGCCTTTTTACAGAGCGGTCGGGGCTCAAAGGAGAATTTATTTTATCACGGCCGCGCCGACAGATATCAGGCATCGAATCGTTATTTTCCATTCGTACGCCGTCCCTTCGAACCACCTTTGCTCCCTCGTCCCGCGTGAAATTGATATTGACGATCTCAATTTGCGATTCTCTTTCGGCCCTGCCCCTCCTCCTCTCTCTCACTCTCTCTCTGTCTCCTTCTCTTTTCGTCTGCCTGGTGCACAGAGGGAACAGGGCACACGCCGGCCATAATGGCGGATAGAGATTCTCTCGTATTCGTTCCTCAGCCCATTTTTTCCCTATCCGTAATTTCGAGGAGCTTGCTCTTTTTCATTCGCCACCCGTTACGCTAATACCAATATTCCACGCTCTCTCTCGCCTCTTTAACGTATTGCACGGAGAACGACGAAATAGTGGTTTCGGTGTGTACCGACGTGGATCGATCGGTGATCTAAGGATTTCGGAAGTTTTGCAGATGTGTGTGGAGTTTGATGAATTAGTCGATTGAAGAGTTGAGAGGGAAATTTAAAGCTGTCGAACGTGCACAGTAGAGAAAATTGAGAGTCGGAGAATTCTGGGATGGAAGAGGGATCGGTGTTACGTTTCTTCGATGTCCAATTTTCCAATTTTTAGGGATACTCTCTCCTATCTTTCATTAGTTTTTAGTCATCCTGCCTCCTTTCCTTAACTGTAAACAAATCCGCATCATCCTAACGTTAGTCACCCCGAAACCTAGACCTCCACATCATCCTTTACTTTTACTCATCGCTGAACCTAGACCTCACCGCCTCTCCCTACATTGACCTCTGAGACCAACCCCTACTCTCGTACTTACCGAACCTATATCTAGAAACATTTTCCGTCGAAACAGCAGATTTTTGTCTAGTGGTCTTCACGCACCGAACGTCACCGAACTGTCTAATAAAGTCGAATAGTACTACACGCAGAATAGCTCCCTTATTTCGCCCCAGTTTCCGTCAGGCTCTCCTACCGCGTACCTATTGAATATAATAAACCAACGCAAGGAATCGCGAGCCGCGGAATACAACAATGAGTGTAAATATTTCGTTCATTCTCGCGCACAGTAGAGAAAATTGAGAGTCGGAGAATTCTGGGATCGAAGAATGATCAGTGTTACGTTTCTCGAATGTTCAGTTTCTCAATTTTTAAGGATACAGTCAGACCTTGACGAATAGAAATGTTTAATTCATTATTTTCCTAGAGAAAAATGACGAGAGTCCGTTAAAAGTTCTTGAAAAGATTCAGAAACTCGTTATGAAAAGGAATATTAATTTCGGATGCTGTCATTTTATAGAAGATTTCACTGTTCGTGACTACGATCGTTTTTCCCCCGGTCTCTTCAATTAGCTTTGCAAAGTGCGGTCGAGGTTTACTTATGATAATCGAACGACTTTTTTACTCGAAGAATTTCTCGAAACGAAGTCGTGAAATCGATCTCTCGAAAACCACCGTTTGTTGGTCCTCGGTGCGTATACGTTTATAGTTTCGATGTAACTTTCAGCGGGCTGTTACTTTGACGAATCGTTCGAGTACCGTTTATTCCCTTCAACGCGAATACTCGAAGATCTCCAAGGTGACCGTAAAAAGTAAAATGAAAATACACGGTAAACTGTTCGAAATTGCACGAGGAGTGTTTTCTGAATCGGTGGCACGATCGCGCGGGATGCGTTAGAAACCGAAGAAATTGGAGTGGTTTGTAGCGAACGAAAATAAATGGCGATGGTAAAAATAGGAACTCTTCTGATCTCTGTCAAGGTTGATCCAATCTAAGTCTAACTTCTCTAGTTCACTGTGCACCAGAATTATTTAATCAAACCTGCCAACTGAAAATCAAATATCTCCACCAAGTTGGACAAATCTTCCGAAAAATCTCCTAGCAGAAGAAAAGCATTTCTCTCGGGAAGAAATTACCCTAAACACGAATCGAAGCTTCATCTTCCACTTAAAAAAAAGAAAGAAGCAGAAGAAAACGAGCCGGAGAAAAGAAATAAACGTCATAGCTAGAGCAAACTGACAGGTCCAAAAATATCCAACGACAACACAGCAGCGTTTCCCCTCGAGTAAAAAGGAAGAGAAGAGGAGAAAGAATCGTAGAGAAGATCGTGTCTCGTTCATTGAGAAAACCGTGAAGGTGAATGGTGGCCTGCGGGCCCCCCGTGGCTCGGCGCGATTTAAAAGTCCAGCATCGGTGCCAAAATAAACGCGTCGCAAATAAAGCCTCGGCCGGTGTCGCGGCGGGACTGTTCAAAGGGAGAAGAGGTTCTTTTGAATTATACTCGGACCAGAGGCGACAAGGTTACCGGTCGAACGTGTATAAACGCGATAAAACACGCGCTATAACAGTCAGCTGGATGATGCGGGCAGATGCAGTCGTCACGGTTGCATCCTTCCTCCTTTTCTCCTTCGCTCTCTCCTCTATTCTGCCTCTCTTTCCGTGTCGTTTCTCTCCGCGAAAGGCTGGATCGTAAAGTGGAGAGCTGTGTATTCGAGAGATTCCGGTTAGATCCCGCGAAACGGAAAAGAACGGCGGGAAAAATGGTGGTACAGAGAGAGAGTGGTTGGTTTAGTATTATTTTAACGTCACGCCTGTTACGTGTCGGTGGTGCAGTATCGTGGTCCCTGACCGCTAATCCCTTCTAGACCGTAATAAACGAATTTACTTTATGGCCGTCTCTTCTGGCTACTTTTCGCCATTTTTTCCTCCACCTTTTCTGTCTCCGTTTCGCAGGGTGACTGAGCACAGTCGCGAGAAAGTCGTA